CAGTTTGTGGCAGAATTAGAATCAGAACTCATTGTTCTGGGATCTGAACTACTATTTAGTCTTACGAAGTTGGCATCAACAGGCCTTAGCTGGTACCACTGTTTCTCCTTACTTATGTTTCTCCTGAAGTTATGGAAGACACTACTGGTTGGTTGGCAAAGCTAACACCTATAATCCAATCCTCATCCCTTCTGGTCATTTCTAATAAGGGGGCTAGAAAATTGAAATGCCCAATTTGCCAGCCTCTTTTGCTTTTAGAGGTAGTCATGTGATACAGTTATTGTAAAGGAAATGTGACTAAAGACAGAATATGATTCCCACCTACCAGGATAACATCAAATAACCTTTATTTCGTAAATCACATTTATGTGTTTGGTCTATATATTGATACCATAATCCCAAGTATTAATCCATTAACACTGTGTTCATCTAAGAAAGCATCCTGATGGAACTATACAAGCTGCTGATTAAAGCGTCCACTGGAATGAGTTTTAGCTTGCAAAGAACTTTCGCAGAAACAAGCTGCATAAATCTTTTTTCTATAAATTGTATACAAGCAACAAAAAGACTAAAAATCTCCATAAAGTTTATTTTCAGTGAATCTAGGAGATAAGATATAATCTTCAGATGTCAAAATAGACATAAGGGCTGCCCAAACAGCTGAATTTAGCAGAAGGAGTGTGAGGAGGAAGTGAAAGGACGAAGTGCAGCAAGAGTCGAGAGGGACCAGGTAGTAGAAGATCTCAGGGTTCCCCTTGAAAGGCAAAAGCTATATCCCTTGTTTCTAACACAGGAGCAGGGAAGAGCTAATTGGCTGTGGAGTCCCTCCTGGACCTGGTTTGGTTCAGGGAAGGAGAGGAGGAAGAGCCACCTGAACATGCAATCACAAGGAGCCCATTTACATGAGACAGCATGCTTCTGTGACATCAGCAGAAAAGATGAAGCATGTGTGTGAAGTCTGGAAGGCCACCATGGCTTATTTCCTGCAAACAATGGTATTAGAAGCCATTCAGTATTGAATGCCCAGTATTGAGTAGTTAAGAAAAAAGGAACTGCCATAAGACGGATACAAAGATACTATTAAAAAAAAACAACGAAGAGAAATGAGCAAAAATTAACAGATCAATAATATTCACCATCTGAAAAATTTTGCAGAACAGATGAGTATTGTTCTGCATCATTTCGCCAGAACAGGCTGGACATGGTGGCTCACACCTGTAAGTCTAACATTTTGGGAGGACGAGGCAAGGATTGCTTGAGGCCAGCAGTTTCAGACCAGCCTGAGCAACACAGGGAGAACTTGCCGGTACAAAAAAGTCAAAACAAAAAATTAGCTGGGTGTGGTGGCATGTGCCTGTGTTCCCACCTACTTGGAAGGCTGAAGTGGGAAGACTGCTGAGCCTGGGAGGTGGAGGCTGTAGTGAGCCACGATCACATCACTGCACTCCAGCCTAGGTAACAGAGACACTGCCTCAAGAAAAAAAATTCAACATGAATATTAAAATCTAGTGATTCAATTGCCTCCATGAAGAAAGTCTACAAAACAAAAATCCAGAAGGAAGAGATGATGAAATAACAGAAAGAAAAAATATAAGCTCAGGAAAGGAGTTATAGAAAAAAAAACCACACACACTATGGGAAACCAAATGAGATACCTGACAGGTAATAAAATGGAGAAATACTAATGCAATGAAATGGAAGTAAAGAAAAAAAATAAACTGTTCTGGTAATGGTAGACTAGATAATTCAGAATAACTTCACACTAAAAACTGGAGAGGCTGGACAAAACATTTATTTTAAAAACTCTGCTTGAACACTGAAAAGCCAGTAAGATGATGAAAAATTCCTGGGCCAAGATTCAGGAGATGATATCCAGGGGTGAACCTGATATGTGGGGTCAATTTTGCCTTGGTGCCATTTAAAAATCTGGAAAAGAGACTGAGAAACTTATCACAAGTGGTGATGTCCTCTTGGGGAAGGCAGATAACACTGGCACACTGGCTCCATCAATGGAGGTTCTTATAAGCCCTTGCACTTTGGATCTAGACCCCAAAGGCTGAACCCTGCAATAACAGTGAGCTAAAAGTGCCCATGCAGAAAGTGCAGCCAAGACGCAGGTCATCTGGGGTACGCAGATCATCTTAGTTCCTAAAATTGGATTGAGATGTTTTCAATTTGACAGTGACCCCAGGCAGCTGACAGAAGCAAACAAAACTCGCGTCTAGACAACAGCATCTTAGGCCTCAACATTTTTTCTAGAAACAATTTTGCCAACAGGATTTTGGCATATAATTAAAGATAACCAGGCCTAAGAGTAGAGAAGAAAACATGAAAAAGAGCCAACAGAAACAATAGAAACAGATTCTGAATTGGCATTAAATATTGGAATTGTCATACATATACACAGAAGTTAATTAACAAGTATAAAACTTGGACATTTTGAGCAATAATGAATTATAACCCATAAAATAAAAGTCCATGAATTCATACTAACATAAATAAATGAATAAAGGGGAAATAAATGGGTAAGGGAATTCCAGTAAGTGTAGAAGAAACAATGGAATTAGTAAATCAGCATTTGGCAAGCACTACAGCAATACACATGAAATACACAGGGATAACTGATTAACATTAACATTGTTTTCTCTTGATGTTTACATGGTGTTATCCTTTTTCCATCCTTTTACTTTTAAAGCTCCTTATGTTGTAGGTCAGTTGCATAAGCAAGATGTAGTTGCTTTTGTGCATTTTGATAACTTTTGTCTTTTAATTGGATACTGAATATATTTTCATTTAGCGTAATTTGTGAATACATTTGGGCTTACATCCATGTGTTTTCTACGTCTCACTGGTCTATATTGCTTTTTTCTCTTCTGCTTGCCTGTTTTGAAGTGACTGAATGTCTTTTTCCTTTTATTATTCCCTATTACTTTTGCTTTCAAATTCTAAACTTCAATTATCTGACCACCAGTAATTTCCGTCCTACTTCCACATTACCCGACTACTTGTTTAGCCATTAACATTTATTCTGAAAGGAAATATTACATTGCTGCAGTAAACTAAAACAATCAGTCCTACTTCCCATGGAAAGCAACTAGAACATTAAATATAAAAGTTTTAACAGAAGAATTTGTTTTATACCCTACTGTGGGAAACACTACCATGTTTCACAAGGCTTTCCTGAGATATATACCTATACCACCCCAAATGGTAGCCACTAACAGCTATTCAAAAGTAATGACAAACAAAAATTTAAAACTCAAGTTTCTCAGTCACACTGGCTACATTTCAAGTGTTTAATACAAGCCACACGAGGCTTGTACTGGTCATGTTTTTTTTGGGCAGCACACTTACAGAACATTTCCATCATTGTAGAACATTCTGCTGATCAGCACTGTTCTAGACCTTCTCTCTAGCAACCCCCACCCCCTCCACCCAATGCTGAGCCACACTAATATTTCTGTCTTGGAATTCACCAAAGCTTTTTCCCTAAGCCTTTGCATATTCCCATCCTTCTGCCTAAAATACTCCTCCCCCTTTTGTTCTTTGCTAGCTTTTCTTTTTTAAAAACTCCTATATAAGCCCTTCTTGATAATCTGAAGTAGTAACCAACTCCCAGTTGCTACACTTATTTCTCATCTCAGCCATTTGGTTTATTCTGTCATTGCAATCACTGCAATTTACATTTTATTCATGTCTGTTTACTTCCCATCTTTACCTAAGCTACTCCAATTGTACATTGAATTATACAAAATTATAACCCATGAAATAAAATAGAAATCTATGAGTTCATACTGACATAAATAAACGAAAAAGGGAAAATAAATGGATAAGGGAATTCCAGTAAGTGCAGAAGAAACAATGGAATTAGAAAGTCAGCATTTGGCACTACAACAATACATATGAAATACGCAGGGATAACTGATTAATGTTAGTTAATGTTAGATTAGTTAATCAGTTAAATGACAATTGTATATTGTAGTAGCTTAGGTAAAGATGGGAAGGAAACAGGTATGAATAAAATGTAAACTGCATAGTTACATAACCTAAAATGTGATAGGTTACATTTCTATCACGGTATAACCAGAAGGTGGCTAATGGCTGTAATCTGAACACTTTGGGAGACTGAGATGGAAGGATTGCTTAAGGTCAAAAGTTTGGGATCATCTGGACAACATAGCAAGATCTTTTTTCTTTTTTTTTTTTGACTTTTTTGAAATAGGGTCTCATTCTGTTGCCCAGGCTGGAGTGGAGTGGCATCATCACAGCTCAGTGCAGCCTCAACCTCTTGGTCTCAAGCAATCCTCCTACCTCAGCTTCCCCATGTAGCTAAGACTACAGACATGCACCACCACACTTGGCTAGTTTCTGTATTTTTTTATAGAGGTGGTGTCCCACTTTGTTGCCCAGGCTGGTTTTGAACTCCTGGGCTCAAGTAATTCTCCCGCCTTGGCCTACCAAAGTGTTAGAATTACAGGCATGAGCCATGATGCCCCGCTGCAAGATACTACCTTTACACTTTAAAAAAAGAAATTAGCCAGTTATGATGACGCACACCTGTAGTCCCAGCTACTTGGGAGGCTGAGGTGGGAGGATCCCTTGAGCCCTGGAGTTGGAGGCTAAAGTGAGGTATGATCCTGCCATTGCACTCCTGCCTGGGGGGTCAGAGAAATACCCTGCCTCTGAAAAAAAAGCAGGGCTGAGCATGGTGGCTCATACCTGTAATCCCAGCACTTTCAGAAGCCAAGGCAGGAGGATGGCTTTGGGGCCAGAAGTTTGAGACCAGCCTAGGCAAGACTCGATCTCTACAAAAAAAAAAAAAAAAAAAAAAAAAAAAAAATTGAAAAAAGAAATCTGAAAGAAACAGCTCAATAAAGTTGAGAAATTATGTTTACAGATCCAGGGAGAAAGTTATTTAATAAAAGTATTTCACCATTTAAACTATGGATTCCCCAGAATGTCATTGCATTCAAAATACTCAAATGGAAAGATCAACAAAATTAATGAATAAAGAAATTTATTAGAGATTATTAAAGAAAAATGATAAAATAAGGTTAAGTCCTAGATCAGATTTAAATACGTTATGTAGAAATATGGCTATATAATTTATGTAGGAAAATCAGTAAAAGGGAATATCCTTAAAAGCGGGAGAGGTTCATTTAACTTTTTAAAATAGCAAGTTGAGGTGTAAAAGCATCATCAACAATAGCATGTATCTTACCTTTACACAATTGGGACAGTGAGGAGCAAACTGGGATATTCTACGAATGCCGCAGATTTTCAAGTTAATAAGTCATAAATCCTAACGCAGTCATGGGCTAGATGGGGAAGACAACCTGCAATTACTGGTCAGAGTGAAGTGAAGTGACAGGTCAGATTTTTCAGCATATAAAGTTACTAGTTAGATATGCTTACAAAACTTTGTTAAATGAAGTTTATAGTCAGTAGACCCTTTACTAAGTAGTGAGGATAGCTGCCCAAATCATCAAACAGCTATTTATGTGTTAACTCTCATTTATTTTGGATTGCAGGGATACTCTTGTCCTTTATCTATCTAGACAATTCCTTATTACCAGCAGCTGGAATCCAGTTGTGCAATTACGGCAACTGGACAGACTTGAGCCATCAGTTATAAGATAGATGACCTTTAACTGCCACTAGCAAACAATTTACAGACTGGAAGACTGTTTACAGGAATACTAGTTTAACTGAGACTTTAATTATGGTCCAAGAGCTTTTATAAAAAATGCAATTAAAAATTTTGCTTTAGAAAAATTTTATAGGTATATGTCACAAATACTGAGAATGGTTGAATTAAAAGAGATTGAGACTTAACAGTACATTTCCACTGGAAACATAAAGCTCTGAATGCTGTGACTGAGTAACCAAAGGAATAGTTCTAAATTTTCTTTTGCAACATAACAACAAAGATTTCAAACTGAAAGAAAACAGTTTTCATGAATGACAGATTTAACTACATAGTTTTCATTCTATAAACAAATAACTTGTGAAATATCCCTGACGTCACTGGACAAATGGAAAAACCATTATTTGTGTCATATTCCATAATTCTGATAACTAGGATTAGAAATTTTAGGACTTTAAATCTTTGTGCTATATTATCCACTAAAATCAGGGAGTGGCTTCCTAAAGGGTATTCATTCTCTGAGGTCATTTTTTTTTTCTTTTTTCTTTATTCAAAACAGTAAAGGAAAAGGACATAAGGAAATTCTGATTAATTTTTTCTCCTGCTCTGTTTGCAAGTATACATGCTTTCAAAGTCATTTGAAAATAAGACCATTTTCTTTGGCGGGTAAGTATCTTGTATAAATTAACTGTATAACATGTTTCTTGAACAGAAACTACACCACTGTCATTATGTTACCTATAGAGACAAAACTGCTAACACAAGTAATGTAGGCTTACAATTATAACAAAAACCTGTGAGAGGGCATGATAAAATTCAAATTTTGATTGGTTTCTTTTATTATTATCACTACTACTGTCTGCCCACAATTTCTGTGGCCAGAGTCCATTTCAAATCCTTCTAAGGGTCCACTTCATGAGTTGAACATACACATACAGAACAAATTACATACTGTAATTTTTAAAAGTAAATCTGTTTTACATAGTCAGCTGGAGGCAGTTTAATATAATAAAAAATTATAGCTCTAACAAATATGATAGTAGACTATTAAACCTCAGGTTACGTTAGATTTGTTAACTCTCGGTTTGCTTTGAGTATTTTTTTTCTTCAAAAGCCACATTCTAAGAAGATGCCTTAAGTATTAACGAACCATATGTGAAGTACATCAACTCTGTTTAAGGCAATCCAACAATAAGGACACAAGCAGTAAAATATCTGAAGCATGAAACTGTAATGTTGATCACTAATGTTTTAGAACATCGGGAATAAGATTAATGAAGAGCAAAGTAAATCTAAAACAAGGAAAGGGAAGTTACATTTATTAAAAATAAAAATAGTACACAGTCTCTGATAACAAAAAAAAGCATTTAGAGTCAAAAGACATCTAATATACACTGTTAACAATGCATACATATTAATTTTTTTTAGAAAAGACCCATGAAATAATTTTTAAAAGACTTTCAAAAGGAAAAAAATATTTTGGCTCCTTTCTGCTAGAGATTCACCTACAAATACACCATGTTAGCTATACCAGCATTCCCTTTCACATGGTCTGTACAACGCGGTGTTGCACCATGTGCGCGATTACTTTGATGAACACATTGTTTTTGAATAAAATTGTTGCTTCTGTATGGATGATCCAGCATAAATCACTGGTTCAATTTCACAAAAATATTCATAGGCTGGAAGAGCAGTGACAACCGTTTTCCAAAATCTTCAGTTTTAACAAAAGGCGCAGAATAAACTACTAAATCTAGATGTTTTCACATTATTTTGCATGAGTGTCAAGTACTATGTAAAAATTAATGTAAAATCTTAAGTTAGCCAAAACTAGTGTCTCTAAAGATGAAAATTCTTCACGCTTTTAGCGTGGCTGATAAATCTTTTCTGCCTTTGTCACTAATAATGCTTGTCAAACCAAAGAACTTTGTTTACGGAAGACAGTAACAAAAATACCATATTGAACTTCAGTCTTAAGACACACACAGTTCCTGCTGGATACTGGACTGTGAAAGTTTATTATCTTCAGTCTTTTCATGTCCTGGGGCATGGCAAGTAGTCTTCCGCTTAAATAACCGAAGACTCAATCGTAATAATTCATTGTCTACCACTGGAGCATTCGTGTATGCTTGTTTTACTGTGCCCTATTTAAGAAACAAAAACAAATTTTTAAAAAAGATGTACATTATGAGTTGACAGTAGGAAAGATGGGCAGGTTAACCTCTACCCAAAATAGCAAAGTTGTAAGAGTATTTAATTTTGGATATTAAATTAGTTTTATTGGATTTCAAAGCAAAATTAGAAAATGTATTTAGGCTCAATGGCTCTTTGAAAATAAACTTTTAGAGGGCACCTAGTCTAATCTCTTGCTTAAAGTAGGAATCCTCTCAACAATTTCTATCAGGTAGTCAACCACTTTTTACTTCATCATTTCCAATTTCAACACAAACAAAAAACACAATGCACATTCTACTGTTGAATGGCATTATTTCTTCCATGTGATAAAAGCTCTTCTATGGAGCTATACTGTTAATTCAATCTTACTTTTACTTGACAGTCCTTCAGTTCTGCAAAGATAAGTGTCATGACTTCCTTCTTCATATTGTTTTTCCTTCTGTAAGCCAAACATTCTATATTCCTTACGAATCTTTTCATGTCCCATAAAAAGTGAGCTCAAGGATTGAATAAATACTTTAGAAGACAGCTAATCATGCAGTATACTGAAGAACTACTACCCCCCTTATACTAAAATGTGTATCTATATTACTGTGACTTAAAGTTACATTAGCATTTTTTAGAAAGTTATTGTCATAGAGGATGGACCAGGGGATGTTACAAAATAAAAAAACAAAGAAAAGTGCATATTGAAATGGGGGGGGGGTGGGCAAAGGAGAATGACTGTAGTAATTCTGTCAAAAATAATCTTGAGTCAGACCTTTAAGTGAGGAAAACTTGATTATACAGTTCAGATGTGTTTAAATAATCTCCTATTCCTTGTATTTGTTTCCATTTTAATCTTTGGAGATAAACTAATTTTTCTCTTTTGAAAAATTTAATTCCCGCCCCCACCTCTCCCGGCCCTAAATCTGAGTGTTTTTCTTTAATGAAGTTACGTTTTCTTTAGCAATGTGATATGGCCAAAGATAATTCTGTTTTCCTAATTGTCCCCCAAGTAAAAAGCCAGTGAAGTTAACCATTTTATCATTACTCTAAACTTGCTAAGCAAAGAATCACACCAACTCTCTTTTGTCATACAGGTTGAGTGCTCCTTAACTGCAATGCTTTGGATCAGAAATAGAAATGTTTCAGATTTTGAAATTTTGTTGGATTCTGGAATATTTGCATTACATTGACTTACCCAGTTGAGCATCCCTATCTGAGAATCCAAAATCTGAAGTGCTTCAAAGAGCATTTCCTTTGAGGGTCATGTCAATGCTCAGAAAGTTTTGGATTAGGGATACTCGATCTGTACTGCCTATACCCATCCACCCACCACCCCAAATAATAAATCCCAGTTTCTTAACTTTAAAAAGTCTAAAATGTTTTCATCTTGGGTTTACCAGGTCTCATTAACAGATTTCCTCCAAATCTAATTTCTATTTCTCTTATTTCTCAATGTCTTTATTCTTCTCAAATGCTTATATATAATCACTTTTATTTCCCTTTCTTCCAGCTTTGTACATTCTCATAAATACTACTTCATTCCATAAATATCCACAACACTCTAAGGAAATTTTCCTTAAGTTTCAATTTAAATACATTTTTGTAATATGTTTGCTTGTTGAAAGAAGCTTTTCACAAATAAAAAACATTTAACAGAAATAGAACATTTTAAACTTTCATTATTAACACCAATATTCATTAATACTATTGAAGTAAAATAAAGCGTATTATAAATTTTAATGGCATTCTTTCTTTTACATGTGCAAAAGATTAGGAAACCAAACTGATAAAAACATGCAATCTCAATTTAAAGCAATCAAATGAAAAATATGCCATCCACACTATTCATTTTGTATTTTTTCCAAGGAAATAACAGTACCTTCTCATTTTTAACAAGCTGCTTTCGAATTGCAGAATCGCGTCTGAAGCATAATGCCTTACAACATGGCCCAAGATTACTAAGAAGACTTGCTCTTTCTTCTTTTCGAAGTAATGCAGCCATATTGAGAGCCCCCAATTCATGTTCAAAGAGATTGTCTCCATCTTTCAACAAAAATAAACATGCATTAAGTTTTACTAAAATAGAAAAGCATTATCAACTACTTAACTGAATATTCTACAAATTCTATACTTTATTGAAGTTAGCACATTGGCGGAAATTATTTCATATTAAAGGCAATATATTCTCTGTGAAGAACCTTCAACATCTAGTTATGTTGGTAATCTCAAACAAGAATAAATATTCTGATAGTCACTTGAAATTTATTTAAAATATAAGAAAAGCAGACTGCAAATCTGGAGGTAGAGCCCAGGGAATGTCTGTTTTAATTTAATTAATTAATTCATTAATTAATTGAGACAAAGTATCTCTCTGTTGCCCAGGCTGGAGTGCAGTGGCAGGATCTCGGCTCACTGCAACCTCCACCTCCCTGGTTCAAGTGATTCTCCTGCCTTAGCCTCCGGAGTAGTTGGGATTACAGGTGTACACCACTATGCCTGGCTAATTTTTAAAAATATTTTTAGTTGAGATGGTGTTTTGCCATGTTGGCCAGCCTGGTCTCAAACTCCTGATCTCAACTGATCTGCCTGCCTCGGCCTCCCAAAGTGCTAGGATTACAGGCATCAGTCATTACCCCCCGCCCCTGGGAATTTTTTTAAAGAACATTTTTAAAGGATGTTTTAAAGAAATGTTCAAGTTAAGAATCACTGAAGTCTAATTCAATATACTGCTTACTATCAACTACTACTTAAGAGTTCTAGATGTCAAGACTTTATTATAGCAAGACTCAAATGTTTTAACAATATTCAAGTCTGTGACCTCTAAAAAAATTAGTTAAGAAAGTGGTTAAGTGTTAGTCAGACAACTTGCAAACTTTGTCCTATATTTGGTCATTATAAAAACCTGGGACAATGTATTAAATTAAAATCATTTAGGTTTAAGTCACAACACGCAAGGTAGGGGAGAAAATACTGAATATAGAAAAAAATACCCAGAATAATTAAGGAAAGATATGATAAAATATAAAGAGGTTGTGTTAAAAATAGACACAAGGTCAAAATAACAGAACAGGACCAGTCAGTAATCCAAATAAATAAGAGTCTGCCAAGTGTACGAAAGATAGCAGGTACTGTGTCTATTCATACAACATGATCAAGCAAGTTACTTTTAGAACCCACAAAGAAAAGCAGTAAACGCCTGGGAGAAAATACAAGACACATTTAACTGAGAGCAAAATAGAGCTCCATTACATAGTTCATTTCAATTTTCTGGGTTGCAAAGTGTAAGTACCGAAATTAGATAATTAACAAGAAACCAGTCTTATGTAACATACCTAGTCAATAGGTAAGTAATGTAAGAAAGGTGTAAATCTACAGAAAAGCTCAAAACTAGTTCTTGAACACTGTAGTCTATCAGAATCAGCAGAGGAGCTTTTTAAAAAACATTCCCTGGGCTCTACCACCAGATTTACAAAACCAGAATCGTCATAGTTGGACTAGAATACCTTAAGGGAAAAAACCGGCAGTTTTTCAGATCATTCAGATATACCCATGTTTGTACCAACCAATGATAAGTCATATATGCACATGCAAAACAAAAACAAAAACATAAACTACCATTCCACCACAGATATAAAAGAAATGCACTGAGCCTATGCCCTTTCTTGAAAATTGTTCATTAGCACAAATTCCTGTTTATTGGCATCCTTATTTTTGGCTTTCAAAACAATAAATTACAAAACACACACCTGCAAATCTCCTCAGGGAGTATATAACATGTCTAAATTTCCAGCATCTTCATAGTTTTGGACTGAGCAGCACAAAATTACTCAAGAAATTGACTAAATACATTCTTGAGAAGTAAAATAAAGGAGCCAAAATAACTGGAAAAGTTTAGCTCAAAAGAACTTAACCAACAGAGAGTAGAAGGATAGTTAGTAGAGTCTGGGAAGGATAGCGGGGGTGGGGAGTTGGAGGGACGGTTAATGGGTCAAAAAAAAAAGAATGAATAACACTTAGTATTTGATAATACAACAGGGTGACTATACCACCCTGTTGTAGAAACTTACTGTCAATAACAATTGTGCATTTAAAAATAACTAAAAAGTAATTGGATTTTAACACAAAGGATAAATGCTTGAGGGGACGGATACCCCATTTTCCATGACATGATTATTAACACATTGCATGCCTGTATCAAAGTATCTCATGTACCCCAAAAATATATATACCTACTATGTACCCACAAAAATTAAAAACTTAAAGAACCATAGTGCAATTAGAAAACTTAGACAAAAGCAATTTCAATTTCAGTACACTTAAAGTTTTCTGTTTTAAGCTTTAGTTGTTTCTTTTAAAAATTATATATGAAGTGTGATTATGCTTTCCTTTGTGCTGGTACACTTGAATAGACCAAATGAAATAGAAAAATCAGCATTCATATTTCATAACTATTTACTGAATATCTACTATGTATATTGAGCACTTTTCTGGGCAATAGCAGAAAATATAGATAGATAATTAGACCCTGAATATGGCAATAAAAAGACAAAGTCCTTATTCAAGATGATACAACAGTTCTCTAATACAACCACCACAGCAGCAAACAACAGAAGAGGTCTGATTGTTAAGCAACATCACCCCACCCTTTACAGTGTATATTTTAATTGTTTAAGTAATCATTAAGGGCCAAACTGTACTACATGCATAGCAAACAAAATCAAACTAGATTTAACTTAAAATGGCACTAGCAAAAGTCACAGAAACAAATAGCTTTAGAAGTAGGTAGGATTTTAGGGGTTTCATTCCATTACTTTACAAATAAAATTGAGGCCCACAGGAGTTATTTGCTTAGGGCCACAAAACCAACCAAACAAGGTAGAAAGAGTAGGGAAAGAACAAAGTCAAGAATTTTGATATTTGAACTTCTTAGTTGATAGTTTTTTTTTTTTTTTTTTGAGAAAGGGTCTTGCTCTGCCACCTAGGTTGGAGTGTGGTGGCACAATCACAGCTCACTGCAGTCTCAATTTCCCGGTCATTTTTCGGGTTAATACACTTTCACAATTACATGTATTTTGTTCATGCATATTCTAGGTTTACTGGGCCATATTAAAATTAAAAAAATTACTGCTTATGCTAATAGGTGAAAGGAAGGACATAAATTCATAAAACTCATAAAACAATTTTTCCAATTTTATATTAGTAAAAAATTTAATAATAACTCAACTTTTACCCCCAGGGACACAACATAAAATTGTTAATGTTGTTGCTTTCACCTTTTACCTCTTTTTCCTTCTTTTTACCATCTACTCATCCCTCCCCACTAATAAAGTATTAGTAAGTTGCAAAATAAACTAAGGAAGGTACTAGATGAGAAAGAAACAGCAAAAACCAAAACCAGACAACCCCCACCACCAGAATCCATAAGCTAGATAATCTGGAATAACTGAAAATTGTTGCGGTAAGGTCAAAAATCAATGTGATAAGATATTTTTCAAAGTAGTAGCAATTAATAGTTATTGGGTGCCACGAACTGTTCTAAGAGTTTTGCCTGTGGTCATTTGCTCCTAATGACCTTAGGAAGCTGGTGGTATGATTATTCCTGACTTACAGACCATGCCAAGAACACAGAGATTAAGTAATAGCTAGTAAGTGGTATGCCTATTGAAATTCAAATAATCTGGTCTTACAGGCCAAGCTCTTAACCACTTTGTTAAAGATTCAACTTATACACCTGCATTTGGGTAGATGTCTAGGGGGAAGGGTTGCCAAGATACCCAATTTCTTTAGACATGAAAAATATGTACTCTATTTTTCCTGGCTCTGCTTCATTTAGCCAAGGGTAAACCACTGAGCACTCTGATATTTGAACTTCTTGGTTAATAATTTTTTTTTTAGACAGGGTCTTGCTTTGTCACCTAGGTTGGAGTACGGTGGTGCAATTATGGCTCACTGCAGTCTTAATTTCCTGGGCTTCAGCAATCCTGCTGCCTCAAACTCCCTGAGTAGCTGCAACTACAGGCACGCAAAACCATGCCTGGCCTGCTAATAAGTAATTTTAATACAAAAAGTTCATTGCACTCTTTCCTCTTTTTCCAACTTTTCTGTGAATAACTTTTCTTTTCAAAATATATATATATATTTTTTTCCAAGAGATGGAATCTTGCTCTGTGGCCCAGGCTGGAGCGCGGTAGCATGATCTCAGCTCACTGCAACCTCCCTCCACCTCCTAGGTTCAAGCGATTCTCCTGCCTCAGCCTCCCAAGTAGCTAGGACTACAGGCGCACACTGTCACGCCTGGATAATTTCTTTTGTATTTTAGCTGAGGCAGAGTTTCACCATGTTGCCCAGGCTGGTCTCAAACTCCTGAGCTCAGGCAATCCGCCTGTCTTGGCTTCCCAAAGTGTTAGGATTACAGGCATAAGCCACCACGCCCGGCCACTCAAAATAAATTTTAAAGAGAAACTTTGATGACTATGAATGATTCCTCAAAAAATACTTTCAATACAGTGTTAAGTGCTACATAAGATCAGATGGCATCTTAAATGTTTAACAGACATTATATAGTTAAAATAAAATGAAACTACCTTTGGGTTTTTCTAGAAGTCTCTGACATGTTTCTTTGACTTTGGCAAAGAGTTCAGAACCTGCTAACTTTTTAGAAATCCCAACTCTTAGCATAACAGCTCCAGGTGTGAATTTTAAGAGTGCAGCCCCAGGCTCTCGTGGTTCTTTTGGATGCTTTGGCATAAGACCAGACCAGTCCACGTCTATCACATCCAAGGGATCTGTAAAAAGTTAAAAAGCAAGATTTTTTTTACACCAAGAAATAGCAGTCTTATTATGTAGACAGAAATTTATATAAATCAAGCAAAACACAGAAAACATTACATGAAGTGTTTTAAACCAAAAATGTCCTATTCTTAAAATAAAAGCAAAGCCTTCCTATACAATATTCAGAATCTAAGGACTCAAATAAAATAACCTTCCCACCAAAAGAAAACAGATAACCCATCCCATCCATACAAATAACTCATTTTAATTCTGTGGGAGATCCCCAATGAAACAACTCTATTGATTTCACTCAGATTAGGTGTAATCTTTTGATACTTGAAACCGGAATCCTTTTAAGGGTTAAATCTAGGAGTACATGTGTTTGCAGTGCATGCACACATACATTTTAATTTTCAAAAGCAACTATTTCGTTATGAAATCTCTTTAAGAGTCACAAAATGACTATTATTAACATTGAGAGCAAATAATCCATCCACTGAGAAGGAAGAGTTGGAGAAATAATGTTCTACTTAGAAATACCTACTATCAGAAAATAACAAAGATAACAATTATACATACCTCCTACACATCAGTAGAAAAAATTGTAAAATATAAGAGCAAATAAAAATAAAAATTTAATATTTTACATAATCAAAGAAAACACCCTCACTGTGATTAAAAAAAAAATGTTAGTAACAATCAGACACGAATTGAAATGATTCAAGAGGAATGTTAAGGGGTGTTGCTTCATGGTATAATCACTAGAGTGAGTTCTGACAATGTGCAAAGTACTGTAAGTCAAAATAATTACCAAATTTAGAAAATTGATAGAAAGAGGTATATAGTGTTCCAATATAACGTCAACTACTGTAAATTTTTGACAGGTTGTTTAAAAAGTTGGCTTGTGTCACCACAGTTGTGAAGCTCTGTACCATGTATCTACCATGTAGAAAGAACACTGCCATACAATCTACTTGGAATCAGTAAATTCAAAGTCATATGATTCTTAAACTGTGGAAAATAAATCTTAGAATTTTGCTATTTTAAATGAGACCCTTTCTAATTCATAGGCAATGCCTACTTAAAAATGAGCAGGCATATAGGCTATAATTTTCATTTTATTGGCCTTTCAACCTTAACTAAAATATAAAGGGAAAAATTCTAAGTGACTTAGGTCAATTTTTGCAGTGTGGAAGGTAAGAATACTTTAATACTATATATCAGATAATCTTCATGTTTAACCACCTCTGCAAATAGTTACCTGGCATCTTCTCCTCATCCTGTTGGTCCTCCCTCTTTTCTGCATCACCTGCCAGAATTTCATCTAGTTCATCATCACTGATTGGCTCGTATCCTTCTCCAGCACCAGAGCCTAACGAATGTGCATCATCTAACTTGGACTCGTCATCTCCTGCTAAATAGGCAAATTAATTTCAGACCAAAGACAGCATGAAAGGGAGGCAATGACTAAGTCAAACCAAAAGGTAGAGGCTACACACATTATAACGATGTGAAAAACATCTTTTTCATCAGAAAACTACATCTTTTAATTATTCAAATACTTGATAATATCAAAAGAAAACAAAAATAAAATTTAATTAAACTTTAACAGCAAGAATACAATCTGGAAAGCAATGATCAGAGGAGGTTATCAGATCTCAATTAAAATATGACAAATAAAAGTTACTACTAACATACTAATGTTGATTGTGTGTTAATTTTCGATAATTTAAAACTTTAAAAACTCAACAAATCTACTAACTTTAAAAGGTTTCAATAATTTATCTAAATAAAGTAATTTAAAAACTTGCAAATTTATTTAAAAAATTTACTTGAAGCTTAAATCTTAGTTCATATTATTTAGCTCATTATATAAACTTTATAGCAGTGAGGTAAAAATACAAAGAGTGCCATTAATTCTCTCTCTACATCTCAATTCCCCCTCCCTATCTCAATGATCTTTTTTCAGAGGAGAACCTTTGTCTTCTGGTGAGTTAGTTGTGAACTTAATCCTAAAATTACAGAATATACTTAATATTTATAATCACTAGCTAACCATACAGGTCACTGAATCTACAACACTAGGTTTCAAAACGTAACAGTATGCTTTATGAGTATGAATTTGCAGCAAATATAAGAAATTATAAGATGTTTCTAGTCATTCCTGTGATTTTCCATATTATTAAATTCTATAATAATCTCCCCATATCCTCACTAATTCACTTTTAAGGTAACCAATTTTAGTAACTTTGCCATATAAACATACATCTAAACATAAATGCACATAATAAGATTTTTCATTTTTCAAGGTGATCCAACTCATTTTCCTAAAGTGAATAAAAACTTTGTATCACATAGCAAGAGATTCACTTATAAATTTCTATGCTATATTATCTGTGATCATAACTACCAAATGATATATTTTAGAGATGAGGGACATGCACTCCAATCACAAGAGAGCTATTATAATGATTAATTCAATTATATTCAATTATATCCCAAGGTTGTACCTCCATCAGAACCATGCTTCATGATTTGATGCTATTTATACTCAAAATTGAGATGAAAATGTAATATGAAGAGATGAATTTGAAACAGTTAAGTGCCTTGAGCAGAGAAGGCTTCATCAAGAAAATAACGTTTAAATTGGGACTTCAAGTTTTAAGAAGAGACAGACGAAAGAAAAAGGTCTATCAGGCAATGGTATGAGTGGGTACAAAGAAGGGCAGAGAATGGAAAGGTGTGAGCCAACTTGTCTAGTAAATGGGGGCTGAAGGGTAAAGAGCAGACGCATGGAGAGTAAGGTTTCACATAGCTGAGGCTGGCTTTGAGTGGGCCAAAAGATTGATGTGGACTCAGCATTCCTATTCTAGGACTGGAGAGTACCAGTGGGATTATACACTCAATCTGACATTAAATACAGTTTCAGGTAGTGCTATTATTTCATGTATTTGTTCTCAACTGCTCTAAAAAAACAGAGATTCACTAATAATTATTTGAAATTCCTCTCTGAACTAAGAAGTCATTTCAATTTTTGTGATTGTATTTTTTTAACATCTAAGAAAAGGATGTGATGGTTATTCTTCAACATCTATACGAATTGCAATTAAACAATCTTTTATTTCATTTAGGTTTATGTAAACCAAATCTACCTTACTGGTACTACTGATGGGACCACATTAGAAATACATATATATATATCATACAGGCCTTTTCCTTATGAAATCTACTTCCTCTAAAAGAGAATGGCGCATGGAATCAATTTGCCTATTAATGGATGACCTTTCAAAAGAAAATCGTTGTTTCCCAAGAAATCTGAAAAGAAATAAAGCAGTATCACAGACAAAAAAGGTACCACTCACCTTCCAGGCTGTCAGTTCTCTCAGATTTATTTATATCTTCAAATCCCTGCACAGATCCCAGATCTTTATCCATTCTCTCTTTATCCAAGGCTACAGAGTCTCGGGAAGTGCCTTCTAGATCCCTTTCATGTTCACCTTCCAGTTTTGCTTCACAGCGTTTCACAGACTCTAACTGAGAACTCTCAAAAGTTCTGTCTCTGTCTCTGTCCCTGTCTCTTTCAACGGAATCAGAAATCAGTCTCTCTCTCTCCCTATCCAAGTCTCTCCTTTTGTCTCGTTCTCTCTCTCGTTCTCGTTCTCGCAATCTATCTCGATCCCTGTTGCGTGGCCAATCTTTATCGGCATCTCGGTCCCACTCTCTCTGCCTCGTATCTCTCCTCTCTCTCTCCCGCTCTCTATCATGTTCATATCGATCTCGTTCTTGAAGCCTGTCTCTGCTATCAAATGACCCAGATCTTGAATGGACCTGTCGATCTGACTCTGGAGAACTTCTTCTTGAACTATGACTTCTTGAATCCTGGCGATCTAAAATAAATATACCATATACAAAGAGCTATTAGCACACAGTAAAATAGAAACAAAACGCTTCATTTTAGGATCCTTTAAAACATAATTTACCTTTTTCCATAGTCTATGTAATTTTCTATCTTCCATATTGGCTCTATGTTCTATATATTCCTATATTCTACATACACATATATATATATTTATCTACATTGTTTGAGCTTTCCTACTCCCCTATCTTATTTCCGGTGGTCAAAAGAGGCAGCCTTGACTGCATGAATAGTAGGAAGATTAAAATCATAGGCATCAATGAGGGACTTGAACATATAAACCCTTCCCCCAAGACACACTACTAAAATCCTGATATCAAACTGATTAACACTATTGTATGTATTTCTATTATAATCTTGGTTTAAAGCGATAACAGGTAACATTTTAATGGGGCAGCTAAGCTTTTCTTTTAAAAGTTCCATAAAATTTAAGGCAGCATGTAAAGTAACCAATTTAGCATTACTTTAGAATTAAAGTATGTAAAAATATACCAACATAGGAAACAATGACTAGATCATAATTCAATTTTATTACCTGAAGAAGTACTTCGACTGGGTTCTCCACGCTTTAACTGATCAATCCTAGATTTTCTCTCTCCTGTGATTTCCAGGCTTTTGGTTTTTTCTCTATCTCTTGAGCCACTGTGCAGTACTCTCTTTCGACCACTTTGATCATCTCCACTTCGATGGGCAGAATCATTGGATGGGGAGCGCAGACGACCAGACGTATGACTACGATTACTCCGATTGCTCCCGAGGCTGCTGCTCCGCTTTTGATCCACAGGCTTGCGATGTGATGCATCTTCTATAGTCAGGTGAGGTGCCTCTACTTTTTCCACTCGTGTTCTGTGGCATTTTCTGTGTGAGTCTTCATTGGCAAAAGTATTATTGGTGGTATTGGTGGGGGTGGCAGAAGTGGAAATGGTGATGGCAGATGTACTGAAAGAGGTGGCAGCAGCAGCAGTAGTGGCAAGAGTTGCAGGCGCAGTTGCAGTAGTGGCAGTAGCCACAGGTGGTGGAGGAGGAAGAAGAGAAGATAGAGGAGAAGGGGTACTACCAGGAGTAGCTGCGGTGGCAGCATGCTCTTCTGTCACCTCTGTACGGTCAGGCACATCCTCATCAGACCAGTCACTGAATGCTGTATCTTCTTTTTTCTGAGGGTCCTCTAGAATACCATTCTTACCATTGCAAATTTCAACCAATTCCTCTTTAGTTGTTATAGGGGGAGTCCGTGGGCCTCTTTTCTTCTTACTTTGCTGGGCTGCTTCTTCATCAGAAATATCAGAATCACCTTTGGATTTTTTACGTTTTTTTTCAATGCTTTTCTTTTTCTGTCCTTTTTTTGGTGAAAATACTTGACCATCTTCAGATGTTGTCTCTATGTTACCCCTCTCTATTCCAATATCCTCCTCTTTCTTTTTCTTAATTGGTTTCTTTTGAATTTTTGCTTTCTTCTTGTTTTCATCATGAGCTCGATCAGATGTCTCTCGATCTTCAGACTGGTGATGTCCTATAATGTCCTGTGCACGCATTCTTGAGTTTTCCAGGATTTCTGCCTGTTCTCTCTGTTTATCTATGGAAGAAACTTTTTCCTTGACTTCCTGTTCTTCATAGCGCCTTGAACTCTCTTTCCTTTCTGGTTTACGATCCTCCTCTTTCCATCTACCCTGTCTGTCTTCTGTGAGGTGCGAGGGACTAAGAGAACGAGATTCTTGAGGCCGTACAACTTGACTCAAGAGTCTATGTTTTTCATCTATATAAAAGATAAAAGTAATCACACACTCACCAGGGTAATAAACACTGCATGGCACATAAAAATAATAATAAGCCAGTCTCTCCTCACGTCTGTAATCCCAGCACTTTGGGAGTCCGAGGTGGGTGGATCATGAGGTCAAGAGATTGAGATCATTTTAAAACTTTTAAAATGACAATAATTTTGGTAAAAATAAAAATATGGCTTTACTATAAATAATATAAAATTACAGTACTCTAACATATACTTTAGTCACAAAAGGAGACATTTAGAGGAAGCAAGGCAAGACAACTTTTTAAAAATCTTAATTCATCATTTCCTACTAAGTATGAAAGGATGGTTTCATGGTTACAAATGAATATGAATATAGAGAAACAGAAAACAGAATCTGCTTACTTTTATCATCTCCACTGTTGTAGGCATCACTGTCCGGAGAATGTTCACGCCGGCGCTTTGGGGACTGTCTAGGGCTGGGACTCCCTTCATTTCTATAGCGCTTCCTAAATGGGCAAGCAAACACAATTTATAAAATTCTAGAGGGCAAAAAGAGATTTATTTTTACTAGTATCTCTTTACTTTATAACTGGAACATATAATTGTAGAAAAGCAATATTGTCAGAGGTGTAGCATACAAAGGCTACTTAATGTCTTTAATAAAAATTCTTTACTTCATTTGCTAAGAATTGTGAACTTAAAATATACAACATTTCTTCTTTCTTCATTATATATGTAGAATCACTCAAGTGAAAACTGCCAGATTTAAATACTGCAAGGTGGTAACACATAGCACAGAAATCAATATATTAATATACCCTCTAATATAAACATTCAGCAATTTTGCATTCTTATGATATAAAAATGCCTTATGCAGAGCTGAATGAGAAAACCTAATATTGGCTTTGAGGTAAAAAAGGTATGAGTTCAACTTATAACTACATTAGTTATCATGCAGCCTTAAGTAAGTTCCTTGAAGTCGCTGAACCTTAGTTTCTTATCTGAAAATGGGAAGGAAATGGGAGTCCATCTCATAAAACTGCAGTGAGGAACAAATCAGTTATGTCATAAACCAAGTGCCAGATATGTTGTGGATATACTGTAAAATCAGTTCCTTTCCTCTTCTTAGAAATCACTTACTTATTAACAAACTAATAAAATAATTCATGCTGATTATATTTTTTTGTTCCTTAGTTGAGCTTTAAATGAGTAGCAATTTACATCTCTTGGTAAATTGCTACTCTTTAAATGATACTCATTTAAATAATACTCATTTAAAGAGTAGCAATTTACTTCAATTATTCTAGTGTTTTCCCACATTTTCATTAAAATCTGACCACCTTTTTTTAAATTAACATTGTTTATTTACAAATACTATGGTCAAAAGTTAAAAAACATATTGTATACACAGACCAATGAAACAGAATAGAAAACCCAGAAATAAAGTCAAATGATCTTCAACAAAGCATACAAAACATAACTGAGGGAAGGACATCCTATTTACTAACTGGTGGCAGGAAAACTGGCAAGTCACATGTAAAAGAAGGAAAATGGATCCCTGTCTCTCACCTCAAACAAAAATCAACTCAAGATGGATCAAAGACTTACATCTAAGACCTGAAACCATTAAAATTCTAGAAGTTAACACTGGGAAATTCTTTTGGACACTAGCCTAGGCAAAGACTCATGACCAAGACTCTAAAAGCAAATGCAACAAAACCAAAACTAAATAAATGGAACCTAATTAAACTAAAAAACTTCCACACAGCAAAATAAATAAAGACAACCCACAGAAAGGGAGAAAATACTTGGAAACTATGCATCCAACAAAGGATGAGTATCCAGAATCTATAAGAAACTAACAATCAGCAAGAAAAACATAAATAATCCCATCAAAAAGTTGACAAAGGATGTGAATAGACCTTTCTCAAAAGAAGACATACAAACAGCCAATGAACCTATGAAAAAATGCTCAAAACCACTAATCATCAAGGAAATTCAAATTAAAACTATAATGAGATGTCACCTTACTCCTAAAAAAATGGCCATATAAAGTCAAAAAACAGTAGATGTTAGCATAGACGTAGTGAAAAGGGAATGCTTATACACTGCTGGTGGGAATATAAATTAGTACAACCTCTATGAAAAACAGTATGGAGAGTCCTTAAATAACTAAAAGGAGATGTTTGATCCAGCAGTCCCACTACTGGGTATCTACCCAAAGGAAAGGAAGTCATTATACGAAAAAGAGTCATTATGACTTTATATAGAAGTTATTATATGCAAAATTCACAACTGCAAAGACATAGAACCAACCTAAGTGCCCAGAGTGCATAAAGAAAATTTAGTATATATACACACCATGGAACCACAGAATACTACTCAGCCATAAAAAGGAACAAAATAATGTCTTTTGCAGCAACTTGTTCTCACTTGTGAGAGCTAAGCTATGAGTATGCAAAGGTATACAGAGTGATATAACGGGCTCTGGAGACTCAGAAGTGGGAGGGTGGGAGGTGAGTGAGGGATAAAAAAACCAGATGTTGGGTATAATGTGCAGGTGACAGGTGCATTAAAATCTCAGAATTCACCCAGGTAACCGAAAACCTCTTGTACACCAAAAGCTATTGAAATAAAAACAAGGTAAAAATATATTGCAGCACATGTATATCCTGGACAGCTCCTTTATATAGATGAGCAACCATGTGGAGACAGCCCCAGGTGTATAGGACAACTCACAGGCCCAAGTTTGTGTACTACTTTATCCAAAGCCCCTCTCCCAACAAAAGCTGGTCTATTTCCCCATTTTTCCTATCTAAGTGGCCTAATGACTTGCTATGACAAGGGAATGTGGTGAAAGTGCCACTGTGCAAATGTGAAGAGGGTTCAGGAGGCCCTGCCGCTTCAGCTTCTGTCCTCTTGTTATGTTTCTACCATTACATGCAAAGCCAGGTTTAGACTACTGAAAGCCAGGAGGTCAAGTGGAGGGGAAACAAGATGCCCTAATTGCCAGACACACGAGTGAGACAATCCTGGGCCTCCAGGCCCAACTGCACTGTCAGATGGAATGTTGATACATGAGAAACTCCAATTGAGACCAACAGACACCATTCTGTTGAGCCCAGGCAAAATCACTAATCCATAGAATCATAAGCAAATAAATGGTTGTTTTAAGCTACTAACTTATGTGGTGCTATGTTATATAGCAAGAGATAACTGATACGCTAGAATAAAGGGAAAATTTAAAACATGAAAAAAATAAAGTTCTTTCAAGGAAATAACAAGATAAACACAATTAGAGTACAATAAAGATGGCTATTCAGTAAACCTACATAACAGCAGTTAAAAAAAAGTGTTGGAGAAAATGAACTACTGAGATGACAATACAGTTAATGAAAGATTAAGATATTAATCTCACCTAACTAGTTTCCTCTACAGAGTTATTCAACTCCTAAATTTCTGGGGTCATTGTCAACTCTTAGATTGCCTAACCATGAAAAATCAGAAAAACTTTTGCTATTATAAACAGAGATCAGAAGCATGAAAAAAATACAGGTTGAGTATCCCTTATCTGAAATGCTCTGGGTTTTGAATATTTGCATTGTACTTACTGGCTGTGCATCCTTTATCTGAAAACCTGAAATATTCCAATGAGCATCTCCTTTGAGTGTCATGTCAGTGTTCAAAAAGCTTTAGATTTTGGGGCATTTCAAATATTGAATTTTTGGATATGGGTTGCTAAAACTGTATTAATGAAAGCATAGGACTGAATAAAAGACAAATAATAAAGATTTCAGAATTTTAATCTTAGAAAATAAAGAGGTCAGAAAAGTGGGGGGTGGGGAGGATGGGAATAATATGTATGTGTGCCTCCATGTGTTAAAAAAGGTATCTCTAAAGTTTATGTTAAGGTAAGGTTTTTCAAAATGTTAAGGAGAGGGAAGAGGAAAGTAAGGCATGGGGTGTATTATAGAACACAATGGTTGCAGATTAAAGAAAACTGAAGATATATAAATTATTTTCTGTTTGTTTTTGCAAGGTAAGCAACAGTGTTTATCCCAGTTGGAGACAAAAAAGCAGTTAACTCTAAATAAAGTTTGGTTTTGTGCCCACAGAACTTCAAAACTGACCAATGAGAGTTTGGAGACAAAAAAGCAGTTAACTCTAATTAAAGTTTGGTTTTGTGCCCACAGAACTTCAAAACTGACCAATGAGAGTTTCGAATTCCCATGAATACTGATCAGCTTAGTCAATAACTGTCTCCCCCTCAGCTAATGAGAGCCCCAACACAGAGAAGACTGCTAAGCTGACAGGGACAACTCTGGGGCCATCTTAGCCATCATTTTGAGAAAACCTTTCTGAGACTGAAACTAGTAACACAGGGAAACTGGAGAGATGGAAGTTGCTAATGCTTTGTTTGAGAATCTGGATACAGCTACATTGGAACAAGCAAAAGCTAACCTCCAACTTCCTAGATATTTGAGCAAGTAAGTTCTTTTTTGGTTAAAAGACAGTGGGGTGGGGGAAATGCCCTCAGATACATGAGATGCCAAGAACACATCTTTTGCCCCCAAAGAACTACTCCACAGCACAAGAGAAAACACTTCCTTTTCTCTCATCTTCGAACCATGCAGTGATTACAAGGATTCCCTCAGTTCTAAGACATTGTGAAGACTTCCTGTGGCCTGGGGGCAGTGACTCCATAACTGCAAGCACATAAAACTCATGAAGGATCATCAGAATGGCACAGACGATATCCCTTGGTGACTAGTCTAGGAGATGTGATGGGATACAAGTTCACTGATTCCTGTCTTAATTTAAAAATTATTTTTTCTAACAACTGAAAAAACTTGTGGCTTTTTTTTTTGAGACAAGGTTTCCACCCAGGCTGGAGTGCAATGAGGCAATCCTGGCTCACTGCAACCTCTGCCTCCTAGGTTCAAACAATCCTCCCATCTCAGCCTCCCAAACAGCTGGTACTACAGGCATGTGCCAACCATCTCTGGCTAATTTTTGTAGAGATAGAGTTTTGCCATGTTGCCCACGCTGGTCTCAAACTCCTGGCCTCAAGGGATCTGCCCACCTAGGCCTCCCAAAGTGCTGGTTAAAAAAACTTTAGAAAAACAAAAAAAAAAAAAAAAAAAAAAAAAAAAAAAACCCAGGAAATTAAGAGTACACTGAAAAGCATTAAATAAAACTTTGAATTCTTTCCTGAAATGCAATGCGTTATTAACAACTGATTGGCAATTATTCTTACTTTGATTTTCTTTCATCATGTCCATCTCTTGGATTCCTATCTTCTCGGATCTCCTCTCGCTTTTCCCTGCGGTCATCTCGTCCTTTGTCTTTGTCTTCCCAATCCCTTTGGCGCTCTCGTTCTTTATCCCTTTCTCTAGCTCTTTCTCGTTCCCGTTCTCGCTCTCGCTCTCTCTCCCGTTCTCGCTCTCTCTCTCTCTCCCTCTCTCTTTCTTCTCTTTCTCGCTCCCGTTCTTTTTCCCTGTCTCGCTCCCTCTCTCTTTCCCGCTCTCGATCATGGTCTCGGTCTCTATCCCTTTCACGATCTCTCTCTTTTTCTCTTTCTCTCTCCCGTTCCCTAGCACGCTCTCTTTCTAGTTCTCTCTCTTTTTCTCTTTCCCGATCCCGTTCACGTTCCCTCTCTCTCTCCCGCTCCCTGTCTCGTTCTCGTTCCCGATCTCTCTCTCTAGCCCTTTCATCTCTTCTATCATCCACTCTGTCTACTCTTCGTTCCTCTCTTCTTTCATCACGCTCAAGCTCGTCATTCCTTCCCTGATGTCGAATTGGTGAGCTTGGTCTTTGATCTACAATGAAAATCAAGTTTTGTCAGTGATTAATTGGTAAGACAGCATGGTAAATCTTAAAATTTTATCTGTGTATAGGGTCACACTGGCAACAAATCACAAACCAAGTAGCTTATTTAATTTTAACTTAATCATCCAAGTAATAATCACCCCTAGACCTCAAATTTTTTAAAGATAATTTTTATTTGCCCTCTAACTACCATGTTTCCTGCTCCCCATCAACCCCCTTCCCCCCTCCCGCTGATCCATCTTTGATCTTTCTCTGCATGCTCCCTACCCTACCTCCAGCCCACTGCTCCAACCCCACTTTCTGCCATCTCTACCCTTCACCTCTGATCTTCTCTGTCCCCCCAGCAGGACCTGAGAACACTGGTGGCAAAGGATAGGGGCAGCAGGAGGTGTAGAACATAGGAGCTGAAGGAAAAAAAAAATTTCCCTCGTAAGTCACACCTCTAATTTCAGGCCAAAATATATACACATCAAAGTGCAGGTATTATGTGAGGAAAATATAGTAGAACAAAACATATGTCAGAATTTGTTGCTGCAATATCAATCTCTTATCATGAACTATATAATATTCAGAGTACTGATGTCTAGCAATCTTGAAATAAATGTAAAAAGTGTTTCATATTAGTGATGTATATTTGTAATTAATAACCAATTACTAATAAATTAAAAGATTTGCTTAATTATATAACTGATTACTCAGATGAAGAGCCGTTTTCTTAAAATGTTAACTGATAACCTCATCACATTTTATATAAATTTTTTCCATGTACACACAAATCACATAAACACAGAGTAAATGAATGCATGCTGCCCAAATACCCAATTGAGCAGAAAGTTAGTCTGGGATAAAAAAAATGTCCAAGAGGATGGAATGAACTGTTTTAAAGAGATAGCCATTTTTGAAAACAACTACTGTGGTCTGATCTAGGCTACTGTGATGTTTCCATTTACATACTATATCTATTGGTTGTTCGATAAAGATCATACTACAATATGGCCAACAGGTTGGTAAGTGGAACATCTAACATTAACTAATTAAGCAGAATAATTTTAGCATGTTTCCAGGAAGGGTTCAATATAGTATTTTGGGTTTCCCTTCCTAATCACTGATTAAAAAGACAAGAATTATCTATGTTTACTATTTTAGAGGTTACAGACCCAGATACAAATGATCATAGCATTTTAAAGCTAAATCAAAATGAAATCCTACACGGTTGCTTCTCCCCCTTTCTTTTTAAAAACAGAAATTATGGTCCAGAGTTGACCTGCCAATGTCACAGAGTTGGTAGATGCATTAGAAATCAGCTTTCTTAAACCCTTTTACTTTTGCTGAAACCAGCTTAAATTTGAAGTGGTTCTTCTGTACCATACTTTGGATTCCTAGAATGCTATCTAACCATCTTTTATACTGTCTGAATTCCTAGTTTGGAGAAGTCATACCAACATCATAACATTACAAGACAATCTGAAACAAATTAAATACCATAACTTATAGTAAATCATACTTCAAATTTCTAATTACAGCAATATCAGCAAATAGACTATTCAGACATGGTTTTATGAGAGAAATATTTTATTTTCTCAACCAAAATAACAATGCTACTTTCTTCAAAGGAAAATGGAAAGAATATAAGAACAACACTTTAATATGTCTAAACTATCTTCCCCTATCTTTCCCCACAATGTGTTATTCAAAGATGTGCTTCTACTTTCATATTTCCTTATTTTAATAAACCACATACTGATTCATCAAAGCTGAAAAATCTCTGAGTTGCCTAAGTCTCATCATATCCAAGCTTCACTTCTACAATATTTATTCTTTTTCTGTCCCCATATCTACAGTTATGAACTCAGACCTTAATAAGGTCTGCTTAGAAGCTTATGTCATCAATAGTCTAACTAACTGGTATCCTTGTTTTTGATCTTTCTCAACATTCTTAATATGTTTTTCATGAAAATTATTTCTTCCAACTGTTTAAAAGCAGTTATCTTATAGACAGTGAAAGGCAATTAAATTCAAATTTTTAGCCTGACTAACCTACCTGACCTATAGTCTTTCATCAGTCCTTTTCCCTGGCTTCTTTTCTACCTTGCCAATTATAGCATACTCTGACTCTAATCTCGTAACACAATTCCTTACTACTTCAAAGTACATGTTTCTTTCAGTCCTGGTGTCTGTACATACTGTACCCTCTCCCTGTAAAGTGGTCCTTCTGCAGTTCCCTTTTATACTTCAGGCCCTAATTCAGATGTTACTTCTTTAGGCAGCTTTCTTGGAACTTCTCAGAACTGTGTTTGCTCCTTTGTCTTCTCACAGAACTTTATAGAGTAGTAGCATTTACCACAGTTTAATTTTTTGGGTGGGGAGTTCTTCCCTCTCCCATTAAATTCTACGAGCACAAGAATTACTGTACCTCATGTGCCTAGCAAAGTGCCTAGCATGGGCATTCAACAAATATTTGTAAAATACTAGCCAGACATGCTGGTTCACGCCTGTAATCTCAGCACTTAGGGAGACCGAGGCAGGCAGATCACCTGAGGTCAGGAGCTCTAGACCAGCCTGGCTAACATGGTAAAACCCCATTTCTACCAAAAACAAAAAATTAGCCAGGCATGGTGGTGTGCGCCTGTAATCCCAACTACTCAGGAGAGACTAAGGCAGGACAATCACTTGAATCCAACGGGTGGAGGCTGCAGTGAGCTGAGATCGTCCCGTTGCACTCCAGCTTGGGCAACAAGAGCGAAACTCAGTCTCAAAGGAAAAAAAAATCATTAACCTCCAAAATATATTTTTTTATTTCAATCATACATCTGATAATTATTGAAGTAGTTACAGTAAAATTAAAATAGAGAACTGAACTTTTACTCAGAAGACCTGAGTTTGAATTCCAGGTCTGGAACCCACTTCTCTGTTATACTGTAATCTTACTTCTCTTAGATCTAACCCCCAAAATTGTGAAAACATGAATTATTTTATCATACCTACGCTTACAAGGGTATTGTAAAGATTAAGTCAGAATATACGTAAAGCAACTCTCAAAGTTCTTGGCACCTAGCAAAAGATCAGCACATGTGGTTGAACTAACCGTAAGATTGAAACCAAATGTTACTACTGAATTCAGGCATGAGATGAGAAAAATCTGAGCAAGGATATGAAGATAGAAAAAAGGGAAAAAAGAGATTTTTAGAAAATAATCACCAGGATGTGTAAGTTCTAAAAGTGTTAGGGAAGAAATAATTTCAGCTATCAACACAGGACATAGAAACTCCAGCCCTATCTGTAACTAAGGAAATTCTACACATCTTTCAACCAAAATGCATTAGGCTTACCTTAACGAACTCAAACCAATCAACACTGCTGCTTCTAATCCTATCTATGCTCCCAAAAGTAGATGATGTCTTAGAAACTTTATTCTTCACACTAACCAATCAAGATATAATATTACCGCTTTGATTCAGCCCATAGTAAAATAGCAATATTCAATTCTATGGGCCATCAAGTTTCAAGCTATATTAATCTCAGCATTATAGTGAACCTTACTTCAGCCAAGGTTAGTAAGACCTCCATAAAATTTTAAATGTTTAAAGGTCCTAATAAGTACAGAAATAAAAGCTTGTCAAAGAAAGTATTTACAACCCTTTTTAAGTCTTCCTAGTAATCTTGCTTCAAAATTGTTTTAAGAGATCTGATAGATGAACAGAAAAAGTTGTAGCTTAAGACATATTAGAATGTAAAATTTGCTAAAGCAAATATCATATATTCTTAGGATAGGATACAAATAAAATATTTATTTAAACAATCCCCAGTTTTATCATTTTTTAAATTGCTTTTTTCTGGCAGTCTTTATAAAATTCTATTATCATAGTGAATGAGTGAGTAGCCAGGATACTCAGATGAGAAGGTTTAGGTATTTCCTGAATCAGAAATGCCTGGAATGGAACCATCTACATTCTTTAAAGGTTTATAAGCTATTTGTTAAGATGAGAGACACACAGCAGGGCACCCAGTTTTTGCACTTTGTTGCCAGTCGGTACTGGTTACTAACTATTAACATAATCCCTCCTAAACCATGTGAACAACGAGTATATGAACATATATAATAGTTTCAAGTATGTTATCAAGCAAAAGTCTTCAAATATATTTTACATTAAAAAGTAAAAAACAATTCTCCCAATTGAGGTTGTTCACTATTAAATAAAATTGTTTGACGAACCTCTTTCTCTGTTGTCACGACGGTCTCGCTCTCCATGTCTTCTCTCAAAGGAAGAATCCCTTGCTTGATCTCTGTTGTCTCTTTCAGGATATCTGTCTCTTTCAGGATAGCTACTTCGAGTTTCCCAGCTGTCATGATAGTTGCTATTACTACTGTGACTATCAATTTGAGAACCTCTTGAGCCTCGACTTCCTAAACAAAGGATATTCACACAAATGTTTAGCACATATGCTTTATTCAACAAATTTCATCAGTCCCAATCTTTCCTCTTAAAGACTGTTAATATATATATTTAAAATTCCAAAGTGTGGTAATCACTCCTGAAAAGAGTACCAAGCAACGATTCAGAACACCCAAGGTGTCCAATGACTGACTTGAGTAGGCCAAGTCCCAGTTTTCCCTATCTCTACAAAAATCATACAAAAAATCATAAAATAATACTCATTAAAATTAACTTCCCCACCCCCCAAAAAAACAAAAACGATTTCTTCATATCTAATTCACAGAAATATAATGAAAGAAAAAAATGGGTATAAATTATTGCTTAAATATAGTTTACAGTGAAAACGTTCTAACACAGAACACCAAAGTTAATGACAACATTAAACTGTATGTGAAAATTTTCATTAACAGATGTGGGAAACAAATGTTCACAGTGGCTTTTGATCAGTGTTTGGGGAGAGGGGAGAACAGTGGGTGGAGGAAAAGAGTGGTCATGATAATTAAATTTCAGCAGTTTGGAAATAGTTAAAAATATATTTAAGTCACTTGGGTGACGGCAAATGCTTTTCATGAAAAGAAAAATGGCTCAAGATAATGACAGATTGACAGGGTCTGAAGCAAGTACAAATACTGAAGAATACACCAACCAGTCATTTCTAATGCCAACAATTTTGAAAACGCACAACTTTAATTCTACTTTAATGAATATTTTTATCGTATTTATACCTATTGAACAGAAATTAACTTCCTTGTGATTCTACTTTTTTGTCTGATACTGATTTTCTTAGTGTTGCACATCAATCAAGATGATAGGCATGACTGGATATAATTAGATCAGGGGGTCTAGCTCAAGCTCCATTTATCTTTTGCTATTTTAAGTAGTAATTCCAATTAGGAATTTATAAGGAAGATTGCAAGTTCAATTAATTAAAAATTATGGTGATGAAATGTTAACAAATGTAAGAAATAACACATTAGAAATCTTAGGAGATTTTATACTTTCTATATGATCATATAAGATACAGTTCACTGGCAAGTCAAAAACCTTACCCTTTTCAGGTAACTCAGGAACTCTCCCCCTACTTCTGCCCATTCGGTCATTTCTAATTTCACTTCGAGACTCATTTCTGGACTCATTCCTTATTTCATTACGAGAACTTTCTTCTCTCAAATGGTTTCGGCCATAACTCCGGGATTCTTCTGGATATGTCTCCTCCTTTCGATGAGTATCTCGACCTTCACGGTCCCTGTAGTCGTGGGCATCACGAGTGGACCGAGAATCTCTGGGATCACGGTTCTCTTTGGCATCTCTGCTATAATCCCTCATTTCCCTTGAATCCCGAATGTCTCTGGAGTCTCTTAGTTCCCTTCGCTCTCTGGTATCTCTGGCATCTCTCCGATCCCGACTATCTCGAGGTTCTCTGTCATCTCTGTGGTCTCTAGAAGAGCTCTGATCCTGTTCATACTCTCGTTCTTCTCTTGAGTCCTTTTCTCTGTCTCGTTTGCCCCTAGTCTCTGTAATGCATTTTTGGAAATCGACTGTAATTGCTTTTACAAAGTTTCAGGAAACTAGACAACATATGAATACAGAACTTTAAAAATTTTATTACAATGACAATCCATGTTCTTTGCAAAAAAAAAAAAAACATAAATAAATAAGAAGCTGAAATCCCACAGATAATGATAGCCATATTTTTCATTGGATAAACTCTGAACATGAATTTCCTCTGCCCCAACTTACCTATAGTTACAGATCCTAAACAGCTGAAACAAGGTGATCTCCTATCACTGATGGCTTACTTTTCAGAAGCCACTTTTAGACACAGACAGAGACACTTCAGTTGCTTTAATTTCTTCTATCAACTATTAGGCTAGGCTAGTCTAGACAACATGTGATCTCCTCAAAGGTACGTCGGTACTAGAGGGTAACCTATGGTTAGTAAGCTAGCTGGTTAAGAGATACTGTTATTCACTCTCTTTTCCTGTGCTGTCTAATGGTATAACACTCATGTATCCAAGTCTTTAAAGCTTTCTCCACTTAGAGCATTTTTCTAGCTGGCTGTGGTGGCATGTACCTACAGTGCCAGCTACTTGGGAGGCTGAGGTAGGAAGACTGCTTATGCCCAGGAGTTTGAGTTCAGCTTGGGCAACATAGTAAGATGAGACTTTCTCTCTTTAAAACAAACAAACAAACAAACAAACGAAAAAGAATTTCATAGAAAAAAAAAACTCACTTTTAAAAAGCTGGAATGAACCACACTGATTATCTAAACCAACCATGTCATTTTATTATAAAGAAATAGAGGCCTAAAGCTTAGATGGCTTCGTCAATCCCATAATTTGCAAAGATTAGAAACCACTCTTTACATATATTTAGAAAGGGCATAAATTGATTATAACAAATCTGATATGAAGCCAAAGAATTAACAAGAGAACCCCAAAGAATAAATCCTGCTCTTTTTATGAGATTCTTCTGCAAGTTGCTCTTACACTCCGGAATTGCCCCAGTCTGAGGTTATTTTGGCAGCTCTAGCAGCCTCATGCCCAAAACATTCTAAGTTTACCTCCTTTTCTCTTTGTCCCTGGTGCCTAGGCCCACAGACTTTTTCATGGGCCCAAACATCTTGCATACATAAAGCCCTTAGACCCTCATCAATAACCTATCTCCCCCACCAATTCCTTTGTCCATATATCCATATCCACAAATACTGTTTCAGGGGAAAAGCAAGAGGCAAAGATCTGATACATCTCCATCCCTGTCTGCTCCTTTTACTTCTACTCCTCCCCCAATACCAACTGTGCCTGAAAATGTGTTCACTTAGTGCCAGATCTTTCTCATGATGTGCCCATCTGTCCTTACAAATACGTCTAGGTACTGTATTTTGTACTTTACCTACCTCCCTATCCTTCCACTAAAATTATCCTTATTTCAAAAAGTGACATCTAAACAGAGAGGAGCAATTGCCTGCTAAATCTTCTGTATGGAAGGTTAAACAGACATCTTCCTTACAAAGAACTTAGAACACATACGATGTGTTATCAGAAGGATTCTTTTTGTAACACAATCCCCTCTTAACACAAGCATTCCTATAAGACTCAATTGCTTATTATTTTCCCTTCATTAGTATGTTTAATAATAATAATAGAGTTTTCATTCAATAAGTAGTCATTAAATATGTATTATATTCATGCTCAACTCTAGTTGTTAAATATCTTATTACAATTTACAGAAAGGTACAATATAAGAGAATTTTCCCATCTTACCAACGTTCCATAAATACTGCTGTGCTGACCTAGTATCAAAATCATACATACAAAAAAAAAATTCTATCAAATAGGTGCTTTTTCCAGTCTCTACCTATTTTCTTGAATATCATTCTCTTCTGCCATTTTCTTGAATAAAAGACCCCTATTAATTATTGCTTGCACTGTTGATAGGAAGAAAATACTAAATTCAACATGTTTCATAGGAGACTGCTGTACTCCACTCACAGAGAGGTACTTAAAATGTATATTAAATAGAAATGTTGTTGCAAGTGAGCATTTCCCAAGTGCTCACTGTGTTAAAAATGAAAACAAGAGAAGTGAGAAAACAGACTTAAGTTAAATCTACAAAGACAAGAAGCTTAGACAAGAAGTATAGAAAGAGATGAGAGCCATTAAACAGGCTTTATTGCCAGGTAACAATAAAATCTCAGCTTGAATAGGAGTAGCAAATCCAAAGTTAACTTAATTCTCAGGGACCTAGAAAGGAAAGCTGCTTTGCTTACGTCTTTATTATGACCTAGAAATCTGATGACTGGGTTTGCAATGACCTTTTGAAATTCCCCCCAGCCCTCACTCCTTTATCAAAACACTTCTGATGCTTTCAAACTATGCTCCCTGATTTGATGCTTTTCTTCCCTTCATTTCCTTGTTTTCAAAAGGCTTTAAGCAAATGGAAAAGATGCTCTAAGAAACAGATGGCCAAAAATTTCTAGAACTAGAGAGTACTATACTCAGCAGAACATCTTAACTAGAGAAAGCATCAACTTAGCATACCTGTAAATACCAACTCGTATATACCTAACAGCTTACGTTACCATGCTGTTAAGCATCTCCTATTGCCTTCAAGAATTCTAGTCTAAGTGTTACAGAAGACTTGTAACTCCATCTCTTATTACAACAATAAAGCTGGATGTCCAATTTTTCAATTAAAAAAAATCAAAGTACAGTACACACCTTCCCTCCTCTCATGACGTCGATCATGAGACTGTGAAGTTCGTTCATGATCATGTCTCCCTTTCTCTCGCATTGGAGAGCGATGTCTTGGAGGACTCTGCTTTCTCTGAGGAGAAGACAAAGAATGTGAAGGATAAGGAGAGGCAGAGCGTCGTAAAGGTGGAGTTAGTGTCCGCTGATAAGATGGTGAAGGAGTTCTTTTTCGACGAGGAGAAGGAGAATGTCTTTGAATAGATGATCCTGATTGTGAAGAAGATGAGTGATGTCTAGAAGATATAGGAGAATGATGCTGTCCTGCTGGGGAGGTAGACCTATAAGGGAAAAAGGATAACAATAAAAAATGTATTCAAGAGCTTCACTTCTAGCCAAAGGAAAATCTTTAAAAACAAAAACGTGAATGTAAAAGTCAAAGCTAAAAGTATAGATAACAACTCTGGGATAAATTTTAATTCACAATGCTATAAAATTGTAAGTAGGTCACTTTTTAAAGATGTGACTTAATTTTAAGTCACGAGTTCAAGAAGAGATACGCGTTGCTTTTCCCGCAGGCTTTGGTGCCAAAGCGCATTGCATTTTCCAACATACACCATTTATCCTAACTTAAGGCATGGAATTCACTCTGATAACCGCTGACAGTGTGAACAAGTACTTGGTAAAAGAAAACCCACAAACTACGGCAAAATATACTGCTAGATCTAGATAGAAAGTGGCTGTGAGAATGCCTGTAAATGCAAAGCTATGGAAAAATGGGAGCTAGCATCAGCTAAGGCAAACAAAAAATCCACGCTGTTTAGGTTGACATTTAGGATTATGAAAGAATCCTAGAGTTAAGGAAAGAATAACAAAATATATACACTGTCTTTAACTTAAATAATCTGTCTTCACTGCAGGCAGCACAAACTGAGAATTAGTTCTTAGTTCTTGGTTCAGCGAAGGCCTCCTCTATTCCCTTCAAATCATTTTCCTTCACTGCTACCAAACAACATATAACCTCATGGTAATCATTACGCACATCTGAATCACTCCGAGTCTATCATGCCTGGGTCCTGTCCACACTTTTGTGCAATAACTAAGAAGCAGCAGGAAATAATGTTTAAAAAATAACTTTCTAGATGCCCAGATAAATATTCTTCAAAGCAATCAGCTCAAGAGCTAAAAGCTTATTTTAAAAAATTCTGATTTTTTTAGTCAAAGTACTTCTGAAATTATCTTCAGTGTCTAGGATAAACTTTTTTTTGGATGTGCAATGATGGCACAAATCATTATTGATTCTAAACCAGTTTCTCAACCCTAGCACTACTGACATTTTGTACTAGGTAACTCTTTGGAGGAGGGGGAGTGTCTTGTACACTATATGTAGGATGTTTAATAGCATCCCTCGCCTCAACTCACTAGATGCCAATAGCATCCCTCCCATTCCAAGTCATGACAATAAAAAATTACTCCAGACAATGTCAAATGTCCTCTACAAGGCAAAATCACACCCAGTTGAGAACCACTACCTTAAACTATGTTGTTTATAAATGATGCCTTAGTAAACTTTTTATCAATAAAAGATTTCAATCTATAAACTAACTAAATGTTACTAAGTCAGGAAAGTGATCTAATATATCAGAAAGAATTTGCAGAAAATAATTTAGGCAAATAAAAATACCTTTTGGATAACCATTGATTAAAATAAAAAGTCAGCTAGCTAACTAGACCACTACACTTACTTAAAAATCAAGTTTTCTTGATTAAAGCTTTATTCTTTTAATAAAATAGTGATTCCTTTCTAATATAAAAAAAATAGCCATCAGCCACTAAAATTTTAATTGACTCTAAATAGAAATTTATTAACTTAACAGATAATATGAGTGGAAATACTCAATGGGTCTTAGCCAGATGTGGAAAACTATTTATGATCAATGCCCATTTAAATGCATCCTACTGAACAGAAAAATCCTTGCAAGAGTAAAAATTAGAGTCAGTATTGTCTGGTGCTTTTCAATTTCAATTTCATTAGGTTCTAGTCAATTTATTTTTATTCTTGGGGGGACAAGGTCTCCCCGTCACCCATCCTAGAATATAATGGCATGATCATGGCTCACTGTACCCTTAGCTTTCTAGGCTCAAGTGATCCTCCCACCTCAGTCTCTTGAGCAGCTGGGGACTACAGGCACATGCCACCACACCCAGCTAATTTATTTTATTTTTTATAGAGGCGAGGTCTCACTATGTTGCTGCAGTTGGTCTTGAACTTCTGGGCTCAAGCAATCATCCTGCCTCAGCCTCCCAAAGTGCTGGGATTATAGGCATGAGCCACCACACTGGGTGGTTCTCGTTAACTTAAAAAACTAAAGAATGGTTCTCTACTAAACTGATATTTTGGTTACTTCTGAGTTTATTTCTGGGGTATTTAAAATTGTTTCAAGAAAAAATACAAAAGAAAGAAAAAATATAAAAATTTAAAAAATGGTTTCAAGAATGTCTACAATAGCCTTGAGTGATTGGTACATAAAACTTAAAAAGACAAAATAGTTTATATATACTATCTTTAAAAAACACATTAGGGGCCAATCATGTTCCTATTCAACTTAGTGTCTATAGCATGGAAGAAAAACTTCAAACTTAGGATAGTCAAACTATTATATTAAGGTCAGAACACTAATGTGTTGTCAAGTAATGGCTTCAGCTTTTTTCTCCGTAATCAACCTTCACTTATGTCCATTGTGCATACATAAAAGGTGTGACTCTAAGTAATGAAACTGTCTTGAAATCTGATGAAAATTAATAGTACTTTGGCTATAGACTATTACAGAGATATCATAAAGTACATTTCTACTTAGAATAAAAGTAACTTCAGATTAGTCTTATGCTTTATAATTGACTGGTTTCTTATCTGAGGAAAAAAGTATGAAATTCAAATAAAAAAGGCAAGTTTATTTAATGAAGAGAAATTTCATGCCTTAAAACAAAAATCTGTATAATGTAAGCCAGAGCATTGTGATTTATTGTATACAGGGAAAGTTGATCTTTAGTCTGACAGATTCCAATCAAACACTTTTTAGTGCTGCTATCATTAGGACATGATGTGGTGTGGAATGAGAATACTCAGGGTATATTTCATTTTGGGAAAAAATGTGAAAAGTTAAGAAATTTAAAAATAAAAACTCCTCTGATTCAAAATGCAAGTAATTTCAACTATAAACTAATATGTTTACCCCAGACTTTCTTAAAAACAGTAACAGCAATTTTTCTCTCAAAAAATGGTTTCTATTTCTCAAATATGAAAATATGCTTACCTAATGCAACATTCATATTTTAACCTTTAAAAGATCATATAAAATGTATACATTTTTTAAAAACAAAAGTAATATGAGCACTACCAAAATCAACTGTTTTCAGTGATAAAGTACAACATAATACACATTTCGTAAGTAGAAATATTTAGGTTGTATTATTTTACATATGAAATTTATTCTATTAAATCATTTTAATTCACTCAACAAATATTAAGTGAGCACCTACTAAGCTCCAAGTATTATTTTTGGCAATGAGGATGCAGAATTGAAGAGAACAAACAAAACCACTACCATCATAATAGTAATGACATTATTAATAGCAAGTAACACATATATTGCTACTATGTGCATGACACTATTTTAAGTGCTTGTCATATATTAACTCAGTCTTTATAACAATCTAATAAGGTAACTGAATATGATGGTTAATTTTACATGTCAACTTAATCCATTTATGCCTAGTGAGTTTCATTATTGGAACGCTAAGCTTGTGGGAATTATTTATATCCTACTGCCCAAGGTCATGGCCAAGGTCTGATTTTTCACAAAAAAAATTTGCAGCCTCTGGCACAAATGGGTTAACTGGTTCATGAAATGCCCAGATATCTGGCTAAACATTATTTCTGAGCATGTCAGTGAGGACTTCCTAAAAGACTTTGGCATTTGAATTAAACTGAGTAAAGCAGATGGCCCTGATCAATGTGTGTATCATCCAATCCACTGAGGGCCTGAATAGAACAAAAAGGTGAAGGAAGGCTGCATTCTCTGTTTGCCTGACTGCTTGAGCTGGACATTGATCTGCCCTTGGCTCTGAGGCCTTAGAGCCTGACTGGAATCCATACGATCAGCTCTCCATCTCTCACACTTCTGAACTACACCACCAGCTTTCCTGAGGCCTGCAGCCAGATCATAGAGCTTTATTGCCTCCATAAATGCATGAGCCAATTCCTTAAGTAAATCTCATTCTAGATACATCTTCTATTGGTTCAGTTTCTCTGGAAAACCTTGACTAACACATTGAGGGAGGACTGGAAACCAGTCTATCTAGTAACAGAGTCTATGATCTAGGGAGCAAACCAACAAGGACAAAGCAAGACAACTTCTGCTAATTAATGTAACAAAGTATATAAAAAAGGACAACAAAATAGTACTGCTGGGTCCAAAAAAAAACCCACAATAAGTATGTGCTTTTTACTCTTGGAGCTTAAAAACAATCTACATGTGTGTGGCACAAATACCAGCATTTGTCTTTTTCTAACCCTTGATCACAAAACACAAAGTATGTCAGAGTGACTACTTCAGGCTGCTTGGTAAGGAAAGAACTTTTACTGGAGGATACTTGAGTCAAGTGCTGAAGATCTGAGGGGAGAGCTTTAGGATCAATAAGCACAAAGGAGGCAGGAGGGATCTTGATGTATAAGAATAGAAAGAAGCCAAGTGGAACCACAATTTATTACAGAACAGAGTCTTATGAGAGATAATCAGAAGGCAGGCAGAGCCAGATATGGGCCACAGGTCATAGTAAAAGTCTAGATTCTAAGCTTGAGACAAAGCACTGGAGCGTGTTAGGCAGGTAAGTGCCATTTAAAATATAACAAGATCTTACTTGTCTAAATAAACCTGTAAGATGGGAAAAGAAAATGCTTTTGTGTGATTTGTTTTACACCTAGTAGCTTGCTATTCTTTTGCAGCAGGGTAAAAAGGGAATTACTGAACAACCTACAGAGCTAGGACGACACCTGTCTATGGGAATCTTTTAAAAGATCACTCCTCCATAAATACATGATGATACTTGTAAAACAGATTTGATTAAAAAAAAAAAAAAAACTCATGTAAGTTCTAGATAATATAAGAAAATCTTCACTGAAGTACTAATAATTTTGTTGAGATTTCATTTTTGCATGCCAGCAGTGAAGTACAGTTGACTCTTGAACACAGGTCTGAACTGCATGGGCCCATATGTGACTTTTCTTCTGCCTCTGCCAACCTTGAGACAGCAAGAACAACCCCTTCTTTTTACACCTCTC